TTGCGTGGACTGGTCTTTTTAAAAACTTTACACACATCCGCTCTGGATATGATCAGTGGGTTTCCGTCTTGGATTTCTCGAATCTTCCTGACTGGATCTGTGTTGCTGACCTCAAACTGAGCATAGAATGAATTTAGCTCATCAGGAAGAGAGGCAGACTGTTGTGCGATATAGCTGGGTTGCGTTTTGTAGTCTGTAACGGTGCATATACCACTCCACATGGTCCGTGCATTGCAGCCGTGGTAATATGACTCTAATTTAACTCTGTAGTTGTATTTAGCTATTTTGGTAGCTTTCCTGAGGTTGTATCTGGATTTTTTGTATTTACCCATATCGCCAGAATTTAAAGCAGCTGTCCTAGCTTTCAGTTTGGTGTGTATCTCACCATTTATCCACGGTTTCTGATTTGGATATGTGCGAACAGTAATCCTGGGAACCACGTCTTCAATACCTTTACTAGTGTAGCAGTAACATAGTCCATATACAGATTGATATTATTTTCGGCAGCTTCGCAGAAGATCTGCCAGTCAATGGTAGCAAAACAGTGATTTAGTATAAAACCTGATTCATCCGACCAACGTTAAATGGTTCTTAACGCTGGCCTCTCCTGTTTAAACTGTGCTTCCTGGTCACTCCTTTTGCTGCCTCCCACAGCCACCAGTGATATACCAGCTTTCTTTTTGCTGTGATTGGAGTCGAGTCGACACATGCATGGTTTTAAAAAAAAAAACAGAAATATATATACAGAGAAAAAGCAAAACAGAGCAGGAAAAAAACAAACAAACAAGTAACCCAAGTAGGAAGTTGCGTCAGCATGCGTGGACTGCAAAGGAACAAGTAAAGGTTTACTCCATCCTGAAAACTGAAGAAAAGAAACACAACATTTCAGCTGTGGAGCCTTCTTCAGGTGTGAGAACAAGTTTCTCACTGGTCACAGAGCTCACAGAATACAGGACTCAGTTGTTCAGGACATTTCTACAAAGTAGTGGGCCAATTGATTTTTTGAATATTCGTGAACACACACATCCCACTTGTTCAGACCTCATAGGAAAGGGAGACTCACAGCGGGCCCTATTACATTGTTAAAAATGGGTTAATCTAAGGGAAAAAAACACAAGGAAAAAAATTCAGTTAATTTACATGGTGGGGTGTGTTAAGCATGCTGTTAATATGGGGACCAATCATGGTTTTAATCCAACACCACACCTCCTGTGCATTATTTCCATTCATCAATTTCTCCACCTTGAATTAGTTTTCTTTTAGCCTGTTTCAATTCTTCTTGTTTCTTCCTTTGAATCACTTTCCTCTTTAGTCTACCATTTGCTTTAAATGCCTACTCTTTCTCTGTAAGCAATGTTTTGATCTTTGAGGACACCCAGGGCTTACCTTTTGCTGAGATAATAATTTGTTTGTACGGCATCATATTATCAAAATAAAAAAAGAACTATGCAGGAGGTCACAAAATCAAAAACAGACATGCACCCATATTGTCTAGCAGTTAGGATTCCTGATTGCAAGTGACCGGTTAGCTCAGTTGGTTAGAGCATAGTGCTAATAACGCCAAGATCGGCAGGCTTGATCCCTGTACAAGCCAGTCTCTTTTTTTCTTTCAGCAGGTAACTGGAGCTACGAAAAAGACACAAGAGTGCCTTTACTTTTCTCACCCCAGCATTCTGGTAAGCATTACAGCATGACAAATAAGCATGACAAATAAACTGAACTGAACTGAACATTCCAATCTGTACAATCAAAAGGAGCCTTGCAAAGCTTACATTTATACAGTACATATATCTCATCTAACACCGGCGCTAGCTGGGACATTGATGGGAAAGCAGCTGACAGGATTATTGATGATGGTTTTAACCAACTTCAGTAAACAGTAAACAGGAATAATGATGACATCTCCTGGAAAGGAATCTACATTAATTTTGTTCATTCATACAAATGACATACTGCATGACAGTATTACATCAGCAGTTGTTGTCACAAAGTGTTTTTCAGGACCCTATAAAGAGAGCAGAATCCAGAGAGAGTGAGAAAACACAGGGAAAAGACTAGAATAAGGGCTGGAAGAAGAACAAAGGGAGTGTCCAAGGTGCGTTGGTTTTCGGGGGTGTGTGTTCCAAGGCAAACAAGTCCAAAGGGAGTCCGTGAGAATAACCTGAGTAAGCCAATGTCCAAAGCCGGGTGATCCATCCTGACAGACCAGACAAGAGTTAAAAGCCGCAGAGGGATCCGGCGAAGGATCGGGGGAATAAAAGGGGATAACAGGGCCAGGCACTCCCAGCACCGGACCCAGATGGT